GATTGTTGGGGGCAATATGCTGACTCTCTGTAAACCGCTTAGAGAGGCCTGAAAGGCCTATGAAGCGGTATATAAGTCTACTGCTATTGCTAAACCACCTCTGGAAATATTTTCCCCTACAGTTCTAATCTAATGTAATTACTCACACACACTCATTCACTCTAAATGCATAAGGTTTATTTTCTCTTGTCTTTTAAACTATTTCTATAAGAAGTCTCCTTATTGTTATGATTCATTGCATAGTCAGCCATATGTTTGGATTGGATTTGGATTTTTTAATTTATGTTTCAAATCTTTATTATTGACATTATTATTTTGCTGTGACTTCCTATTTAGTTAAAAAAATACTTTTTTGACTGCAGAAATATTTAATTGTTCTTCCAAAATGTTTTAATTATTTTATTTTCAGAGGCATAGATACAATAGGGGTGCACCTTGTGCAATTATAGATCGTGTAGAAGAAACATTAAGCAAACTGTTGCTGAAAGAGGCAAGTGATTTTTCACTAATAATTTTTAGTAGCCTACCAAAATATTTTAGTTTTGCTTTCTGAATAGATTAAATAAATATAAAAAATGCTTAGCTAACTTTTTCTTTTGCTGTCACTTGGTTGATAAACATGTAAAATATGATTTTGAACTTAGAGATATCTTCAATCTTATGTCCCAAAACTGTTTTTTCCAAAAGGCAATGGGACTTTCTCAGGGGGGGAGTTCCCTTGAAACCTTTCACTTCTTATCCAAGAATCTTCTTCTGAAAAAACACCTTTGGGACAACCATGATCTGGGTGATTGAGAATTTCATAGACTACAATATTTTTTCCTTGAAACAATTACTTTTATATTTCATGATAGGTTGTACGATATATTCTGAGCGTATTTCTTCAGGACATAGCTGGAATTTGTTTTGGTCTGGAACTAACACAGCGGTTCATTAAAACTGCTGTGTTATACATATTTTGTTTAAAAAGTAGCTTTTTATTTGAACTCCTGAAAAGTATCAAACAATATTGAGCCTTGTTGTGTAGCTGTTGAATTTTTAAAAGATGCTAACTGTTATTATGAGGTAAAAAGTTGCACAATCAGGCAATCTGTGTTGCTGTCATTGGAGAGTTAGATTTCTTTTTAAATGATAAAAGGAAAAGGTAGAGGTTCCCCTCACACATATATGCTAGTCATTCCTGACTCTAGGGGGCTCAGCTCTGTTTCAAAGCTGAAGAACCAGCACTGTCGGAAGATGTCTCCGTGGTCATGGGGCAGGCATGACTAAATGCCAAAGGCACACAGAATGCTGTTATGATAGACAAATGATAGACAACAACCAAAAAGAAAAAGCATATAAAATGATGATTAGTTAGACAAGTGGTGAGGAGGAATGTATTAAATAGGTGCATTCTAGGAGAAACAAATGAAGTTTCTGTGGGTTACAAAGGGCAGAATATAAATTGGTGGAGAGGAGAGAATGAAGGAAAAGAAGTCTGAAATAGCAAGATTAGGATGCATGTTCTAGGACAGTGTTTTTCAACCTTTTTTGTGCAAAGGCACACTTTTTTCATTAAAAAAAATCACAAGGCACACCACCATTAGAAAATGTTAAAAAATTTTAACTCTGTGNTTACACTATGTCACGGCACACTAGTGTGCCACGGCACAGTGGTTGAAAAACACTGTTCTAGGATAATGTGCAAATGGATTATGGCAAATCCTTGGATACATTTTCTAGGAATCATGGTGAGTGTTTGTTCAATTTTTTTCATTCCAGGCAATTAAAAATCAGAAAGAAATCAGAAGGAAAACAGCAGCAAATATAAAGAAAAAATTACCAAGTATATCTGTTCCCATTCAAAAGCAACAGCTGACTGGAAGGAAGAAAGAAAAAAACTTACCCAAAACACTCCATTCCCCATCACTATCCTTAGGACGATGTGAATGGTCAATGGCTAAGGGCCTGAGCATTGTAAAGCCAGAACCTTTAGGCTTCTTGCTGCCCACAGGTATAGCTCAAACTGTACAGGAGCTGAAATACAAGGAATGAAAACATTTCCAAAAATATTTGTCTAAATGTTATTACTATTGCTTTTTAACATTTAGAATCAATGGCATTCTGGCTAGTATAGAATAATTTATTTCATATGTATGCACCCATGCTATTAGTTAATGTTAAATTAAAAAACAAAACACATGTACATACATAATAAAATATAAAATGTAATTATAAAATTAAACTGCTATCAGCATTTTGATTAATTTACTTTAAAAGAAGAGGTAAACTATTATAAATATATTTGTTATTAATAATATTATATTATAATCATTATATTGTAAATAAGAATGTGTGTACAAAAATATAGATAGTTCTATTCAGTAAGTGATTGCTCAAAGCTATAATGTCACTTATGAGGGGCATGTGAGAACTGATGACAACCTGTGAAGTTGTGGCCATTGCAGCATTCTTAGTCACTATATTGTGATCAAGGTTCTCTGTGCTCAAATTGTAATGACAACACTGAGTGAGCTGCTGTTACATTAGAACAGGGGTGGGGACTATGTCCCTTCAATGGCTGGCTCAGGAATTCTGAGAATTGAAATCCATAAAAAGGGACATAATTCCCCTCTCTTGCATTAGAAAATTCTAATTCTAGTTCCCTACCATGGGTGGGTTTCAATTTTTTTTTACTACTGGTTCAGTGGGTGTGGTAGGTGGGAGGGCATGTGACTGAGAGGGTGTGGCCAACCTGATGTCACTCACGCACATCTACACTTAGTCACATACCCCCCCCCCCTTAGTCATGCCCACCAAACCGGTGAAAATTTGTTTTGCTAGCTTGGAGGCTGATAAAGAAGCCTCACTTTCCCCACCACTGCCAAATGGTCCATGCCTTCCCACTAAGGACTGATGCTGCAGGAGGGAAAGAAAGAAGCCGGTCTTGGGAGAGACCTTCCCTCCCCCTCCAGAGAGCCCTTGCGGGGAGAGAGGAGGCAGGCTGGTTTGAACGTGGATGGGTGGTTGGTGGCTGGCATTCATTGCTTGTTGGGGTGCTCATCTTTGCACTTGACAGCAGGGGCTGCTTTATTGGTGCCTCCTTCCTTCACATGGCTGAGTTCTTTGCACATTGGGGCGCTCCCCTTCAGACAGCAGACTAGTTTTCAGCTTTAATACTAAGCCACATCCAGGCTCCATGCTGTCTCCTTGTTGTTCATACAGCAAATACTGTTACAGTTTCCAAATAGTCTCCATTGGCTGACCCAGTTGCCATTTCTATTCATTGGCTGACCTTGTTGCCTATTCCAGTCTATGAACATACTCTGACACTCTTGCTTCTTGGACTCATTGACCTCTCCTGCAGGATTTCTTGCTTTGCAGCCATTATGCTCACAGCAGTGGGCTGAACTACTTGCAGCCAGAGGCTGCTGGAGATGTGTGTGTCAGTGGTGGGATTCAATTTTTTTTATTACAGGTTCTGTGGGTGTTGGCATGCCTTGGTGGGTGTAGCAGGAGAAGGATACTGTAAAATCTCTATCCCCTTCCCACTCTAGGAGATTACTGCAAAATCCCCATTTCCTCCCAATCAGCTGGGATTCAAGAGGCAGAGAATAGATGAGGTCAAGGGCAGTCAGAGGTGGTATTTACCGGTTCTCTGATCTACTCAATTGGTTCTCCAGAATTGATCAGAATCTGCTGAATACCACCTCTGGTGTGTGTGTGTGTGTGTGTGTGTGTGTGTGTGTGTGTGTGTGTGTAAGATTACTTTGTTCTGGGACTTGCCAGGAATGTGGGAGCATTTGGGTAAATTTGAAGCAATGAACTGCCAGCTGGCTGTGTTGCCTCTGTGGCATGCCCTGAGTCATCACAATATCTTTAAAACAAAGGTTTCCCATGAATTTGGGACGAGAACCAAGATCTTGAAGGTCATTTTGAAGTGCTTACTTCAAAAAATACATTAGGTCAGCGCAAAGAAATGGATGGAACTGGGAGGAAAATACTCTAAATATCAGTAATTTGGAAGACTTTGGGGGGATGTATACCTCCAAATTTAATAGTCCGAAGAAATGTCACTTGCATTAATAATCTTTGTTGAAATCTGAATTTATTTTTTTCTTTTTGTATTTCTTTAAATAATGAAAACTGTTGCGACTGTTACGTTTTCTCAATAACAAAGGCAACGTCTGTTTGGTCTCTGGAGTAAAGGGAAGCCAGAAAAAGATTGGGCATTTTATTCTGTTTTCCAGGAAGCGTACTTATTAATAAGCAGAACAGGAATTATCCTATGCTTTGATATGAAATAGTTTTTCTTTGATCCTGAAAAATGCTTAGCAGTTTTGTATTAGTCTTTTCCTACCAAGGATCTCCCTAAGACTTCATTCACCTCTTGAAGTTTTGGGTAGAAATACTTTATTTCTATCTATTTCCAGGAGAGTAGAGTTGATCTCCTCTAAATGACATGTGAGTTAGTTTGGAATACAAATTGTTTTCTTCCATCTGATTTTAATTGACCGACTCTTAAAGCTCCTCCAATTCCTTTGAAATCAGCAGAAAAACTAAACATTGATCTGAAAGAAATTTGAATCTATCACTTAATTTCTGTAGCTAACTGCATAACACTACATTTCCTGACTAATGTCAACAGCACTATTGATTATCTGCCATCAAGTCATTTTTGACTTTTTGTGACCACACAAGTATTCACCATGGCCTTTGTGTGTCCCAAATCTGTCCTTTGAAGTCTCCCAATGATGCATTCATCTCTACTGTAACTACCATCTTGCTATCCTTTTCTTTTCTTTCCTTCTCCAGTTCCAGCATTAGTCTCTCTCTTAGGGCAATTCAAAATATAGTATATTCACTAAGTTTGGTAGACTGTCCAGTATTCTTTATATTAAATAAATGAATAGAATAACAGAGTTGAAAGGGACTTTGGAGGTCTTCTAATTCAACCCTTGTTCCTGCTTTGAGCACCCACAACTTTTGGAGGCAAGCAGTTCCAATGGTTAATTTCTCCATATTTCTAGGTTGCTTCTCTTCTTGCTTAGTTTCCATTAATTATTTCTTGTCTTGCTTCTGATGTTTTGGAAAATAGGTTGACCCTCTCTTCTTTGTGGTAGTCCTCAAGTATTAGAATATTGTTATCATGTCACCCCCTAGTCCTTCCTTCCATTAGATTAGACATAATTTCTGCAACAGTTCTTCTTATGTGCTAGCTCCCAGCCCTCTAAACATCTTTGTTGCTCTTCTCTGCATTTCTTCCAGAGTCTGAATATCTTTTTATAATATAGTGACCAAAACTGGATGCAGTATTCTAAGTATTCTAAGCAGTAAGTAATACTTCATGTGTTTAGAAAGCAGTAGTAATATTACATGTGATCTTAATTATATTCCTCTGCTAATGTAACCTAGGATTGCATTGGCTTTTTTGGCTGCTGCTGACCACTGCTTGCTCATATTTTTTAGACTAGAATAAAAGAGTTGGAAGGGACCTTGGAGGTCTTCTAATCCAACCTCCTGTTTAAGCAGGAAACCTTATATCACTTGATAAATGGTTATCCAACATCTTCTTTAAAACTTCCATGCTGGAGCATTCACAACTTCTGGAGACAAGTTATTCCACTGATTAATTGTTCTAACTGTCAGGAAATTTCTCCTCTCCTTTATTAGTTTCCACCCATTGCTTCTTGTTCTCAAGTGCTTTGAAGAATAAGTTGACTACCTCTTCTTTGTGGCAGCCCCTGAGATATTGGAACACTGCTATCATATCTCCTAGTCCTTCTTTTCATTAAAGTAGACATACCCAATTCCTGCAACCATTCTTCATATGTTTTAGAGCTATCTGGTTCCTTAAATTCTGGTGTATTTCAAAAAGATTTCTGATAATTATGGATGGAACAAACTTTCTATAGCTTATGTGGTCTCATACTGTATATTGTAAATATACAAAATCAGGTTATGTTATTACAATGTTCTCTCAGAATTGGAGAGCACAACAACATTTTAGTAATACATGTTCTTGCTCAGATTTGGCCTATTTCCTGAAACATGTATTTATTATTTGTATATATATTTATAATCCCCACTACTCCAGGAGCAAAACTTAGTATGCCCTGTTTTTTTCCTGACTCTCAATTTTTCCATTCTTTAAAATATACTAGGATGATAGATGGTAACTACCCAAAACTGTTCTCCAGTCCTAATCTAATACTTTTACAACTACAGTAATGTAGCCGATAAGTGTGACTTTTTAGGATCTTTGCAATTCAAGATAACATGGTGAAATATACAATACAGAAATTTTGTAACCAAATTTTTTTTTTACAAAGTGACCCAAAGATTGCAGTCTCGACACTATACTTTCTGTCAACACACTTGTAACTATTGAGTGTCCTAGGCCAAGAACTGAAAGAACCAGCCATAAACTAACTATAATATATCTATAATAATAAGGTGACCAGACGTCCCGCTTTTGGCGGGACACACCCGCCTTCCAACGCATTTTCCCGCGTCCCGCCCGCCTT